GCTTTCAGGAAAGCCCAGTCAGGCTAACCACACTGCTCCAGGGCTTGTTTTGTGTGTGATTTCTCTTTCTGCCTGGCTCCTGGGTCCAGACAGTGTCCCTACAAACCCAGGAACAGACAGGAAATTGATTGATTGACTGATTGATTTTGACTGGTGATGTTTTGTGATGTGTGTGCAAAGACTGGGACTACCCTTTTTTGCAAATAATGTATCAGTTAGATGAGTTCTCAAGTTCCAAAAAATACAAACTTGACATCATCAAGGTCAGATGGCAAAGAGTACACCCTGGTTTAACTGATAGACATCAAACTCTTCACCACAGGAAGTGAATCATCAACCAGATTTGTAGTGTTTTGGTGGGAAATTTGCACAAAATACGACTTGCTTTAGAGTGAGGCATGGAACCAGATAGACTTGGGTCTTTATTTTACCATGTAAGAACTTTACCCCAAGAAAAAATAAGTGAAAAACATATGTTCAAAAGGCCACATTGTGRTCTTACAGTAAACATAAACTGGTTGAATACATAAAATCAAAGAGGCAGAGAACTGACAGCTCTCATTCCAAACTGAGTTGTGAATAAGTTGTGATTTTTAATAATCTGTTTACAAATGTAAAGAAGTCACAAGGGTATCATGTCACAGCACACTTTAGGTTTATTTATRMTAAATCATAAACAGAYATAACTTTATTCTTTCACTCACAAAAATATCTGWTCAACGCAGCACACTGACAACCTGATAGACAGAAATGTCTCATGATATTAAAGAGAAGCAGTCAACTCCGTCATGATGAAGTGGTTCATTTGGTGTCATTTCAAGCAGCATTTCATTCTTTTATACGTAATGAATCCCTTTTCAAAGCAAGCTTCAGTGATTCAGAAAAGCTTAATTTGCCCATCACCACACAAGGATCTTGAAGGTAACTAAAAAATACACTTATTTAACAAAAACGAAAAGCTGACATGGCAGCAACTTACAAACCTCAGGAGACAAAACAWTGAGCTGCTGACGTGGAGGAGACTGATTGAAATGAGTCAGGTTGATGAGGGACCGGAGTTCGCTGAGCTGATTGGAGACGAGGAACAGGTGAGTGTCGGACTGACAGAAGGTAAATGAGAAATGACTCAGGAAACACTGGGAAACTGAAACAAGGACTGCACAAACGCAACCGAATRAGAACATAAACTGACAGGAGAAAACAAGAAACAAAACTCAAAACAAAGCTCACAAAAGACAACATGCAAGGAGAACAAATAAAAATGGGTGATCCAACAAAACCACACAGATCATAACAGGTAACTTTGCTTATAAAAAAATGAAGAAAACCTTCAGAGAAGAGACATAAAATCTGTCTGCTCTTAAAAATAAAACTTCACTTTGTTTGCTCTCTGGTTCCAAGAAAACAAATAAATAAAATTAAAATCCATGAAAAGAAGGCCTCTGTTTGTTTTTCTTTACTGGATATACAATACAATACAACACAACACAACACAATACAATACAACACAATACAATACAATACAACACAACACAACACAATACAATACAACACAATACAATACAATACAAC